CATATGAAATAGTTATTAATTATAAATCCAAATTACATTGCTTGTGATTTAAATGACCTGGGCATGCAGTTTGTGGTTACTAAAGGGGATTTTAATATTAATTACTGTAAACTGGGGATCTGAATAAATATCCTCTCTGGTTAAATATAAGTGACTGTTTATTTAAATAGTAAATGAACACTGATTTAAAGTTTAGTATAAATATTTAATTAGTACCCTTATAGGTTATTTTCCCCTTATTAAAAGCTATCTGTACAACACACTATATTTAGTTTGAGAGGAAAGCTGTTAACAGAAAGATGCATTCCTAAAAGGACTAAATATTGGACATGTTCCAACTGCCTGTCTGTCAAAATGTTCACATTTAATATAATTGAGTAAAAATGAGGAGTGTGTGTGTTTTAAATTGAAATGGGGGAGGAGGGGTCTAGAATGAAATGGAGGAGGGTGGGTGTATATTTTAGAATGTAATTGGTTTCTTTTGGAATGAAATAGTAGTGGAAGGAAACAGTTGAAATGGTGGTGCTGGTAGGAGAATGCAGAGAGAGGGAATATGATATAGTCTGTCTCTATATCCCTCACTAGCTCTGCCCTCCCTGTCCCCCAACTCTGCATCTCTGTGTATATTTATTTAAATTTCTCTTTGTGTCTTTAGGTATATTTATGCATCTGTAAAGTTTACTGCTTTACCCTAGATCAGGATATTGAAAGGTATGGGTACTATATTTACCAACTACTTAACAGGGCTATTGTGGAATTAATTTAATGCAGTGCTTTGAATATATAAATCTCCCAAAATGGTAAGAACTTGTAAAATTAGGTGCTAGATGTCTCAAAGTGGGCAGCTAATCACTGAGATCCGCAAAATTAGTGGATGCCTTTCCAAATTTTTGTCCTAAACACACTTTTTCTGCCTCAGTTCCCCATCTGTAAATTCAGGATAATACAAATTGGTTACCTTACAAGAGAGTTGTGAAGTAAAAATTGCACAAACAACCTTAATTCTATAATTGCCTAGTTTTTGAATGCTTCACTTTACAACTTAATATTCTTTTAATGTTAATACATTTCTTTTGTATGTAATATTTATTATTTTAAAATAATGCAGGGATGTTCACCCCACCTGGTTTCTGTGTGTTTCAGAACATTGTAAAATTAAGTTTTCTATGGGAGATCCCATATTAGCATACATTTTTTTTCCCTTGTGGAGACCATCAATCAAAGAGAGACAAATTTTTAGACATCACGTGAAGGTATAAAAGTATTCAGCTGTGCCCTGGGAATGAATCATGCAGTGTAGGTTGACATCCAAGATAACACATGCTGCTAGGAGAATACAAATAGACCTTTCATGTTTCACATGGATATGAATATATATATATAGAGAGAGAGACTACATGTCGAAAAAAAAATGATTTTGATATCACTCATAAGGTAATTCAGTGTTGTTCTGAAGAAGTTTGCAGAAGGATTGCATACTGACAGAGAGTACTCATAAAATTATTCATGTTTGTAGTGAATTAATTAAACTCACGTATAAATTTAGATGAATCTGTTGTGGAATTTCCATCTTGCTGGACACGTATGCAGCATAATCCAGGGACATTGCTGTCACAGTGTGTTTTTTCACAATGCAGTATTAGCTTGAGGAACTCATTGCCACAAGGTGTAATTGAGGCCAAAAATTTCAAGGATTCAAAGACTTACGTATTTCTGAGATAGCACTAAGAATTTAAATGGGATGTAAACCTTTGTAATTCAGCATGCAAACCAAGCATTAAGTATCTGGGACTAGGATGAAACCTCCCCTAAAGACAAAGTATACCATAATTGTCCATTATAATATTTCTGAGAGAGGCAAAATACTGGACTACATGGGCCACTGTTGTCCTCTGATATGGCAAGTCCTCTGATATGGCAATTCCTATGTTGCTATACACCCACATTTATCCTACAGTGAAATGCTAGCAGATTTTTATCTACTACCTGTCAAAATGATTATGTTGCAACAATGAATTAAATAGCAGGTGTAGCCTTGCTTTGTCTTTCAATAGCATTGAAGTGATTGACCCCTGGATCTCCGATAAAGGGAAATGACTGTTTCTGTTTATATTGTGCCAATACAAGTCTTTCTCTGTCACTATTACCTCATTGTCTGATGAATAGATATCACCAGTCATTTGTTTTTGTTTGCTAGATCAATGCTGGGGATAAAACCTGACTCAAAAACTGCAGGAGAGTAACAGTGTATTAGTCTCTGGATTGGGAGGATGCAAAAATTGGAAAGGGGAAACAAAAGATCTGCTACCAAGTTCAAAATATGGTCACAATGAGGAAAGTGACTGTGTGAAACTGGATTATTACAGATTTGCTCACTGTGTATATTCTGAGTCTTAAATCCTCACTTTAGTAACAAAAGGAAGTTAATAGTTTGTTTTTCTCCCCTTAACCAATGCAGAATCAATGTAGCTATGGTCAAGTGATAGGGATTCTTCTATTCGGACACTGTACAAATAGACTTTTCAACTAAGTTTCAGTTGCAGAATCTTCATTATTTATGATTTGGGACCATGAAGAACCCAGGTTAATTTTCAGATCTCATGCTGAGTTTGCAGGTTTTTTCAACCTTCTTTAACTACAAACTGAGCACTTCTAAAATGGACATTACTAGGAGACACTGACTGAACACCCATTTTACCATAATTAGAGCATAGCCTCCCTCTAAATGTGCCACAGTACCTCAGCTGCAGTCAATTGCCATAAATTATGAGTATGTACAGTACAAATCTGAACATTTTGGATTATACATTTTCTCTAACAAAACAACATTGCTGATATGTGCCTCTAGTATGTAACAGGGGAGATTTGATTTATTTCCAAGGTCTCAGCACTTAGGACACCTGCCAACAAGGGATTTGAGCCACTCTGTGTGGATGTTCCAATACCAGTAACTACATCTCATTTCCTTTCTGTCCGACGGCAAGACTGGAAGCTCCTCACAGCTGCTGCTTGTTTCAACTATGTGCTGGTTACCACTGCGTTCCTGTCATATAAAGTGGCATAGTGTATTCTCTTTGATATCATTCTCCCATGATGTTCCTGTGGTTTTATTGCTGTTTTCTGACATTGATAACTTCAAAATCTCAAATTTAGCAGGGTTCAGCTGTGTGTTGCAGTTTTGACAGACCAGAAGTCAGTCAGAAAAAAATCTAATATATTGTTTATTATTGGTATTTAAAGTTGGTTACATTTGGCATTAGATTTGTTGCCAAAGGAAAGTGGTTTGGGTAGAAGTTATTCAAAGAAGTAGCAAAACCAGCAATTAAGTCTTCAAAGTGCTTAGCACAACAGATTCCAATTGGGGCTAGTTGCTACTGGAGTAGAAACATTGCATGTGAATAAATATCTGTTTCCTTGCTCCCTGAGCTGGGATCACAGCATAATCAGCATGCTCAGCCCGGGGGACAGGGAGGGATGAATTGTGAAACTATATTTATATTGCTCTTCAGTGCCCTCCTTTCGTTGACACATGGAGTAACATTAGCTAGCTCCAGTGTATCCGGCAGGGTAGTTGTAAGGCATTTGAGTGTTGTTGGGGCATTAAGAGAATTATAGAATTGTAGGACTGGAAGGGACATTGAGAGGTCTTCTAGTTCAGTTCCCTGCACTCAAGCCAGCACTAAGTATTATCTACACCATCCCTGACAGGTGTTTGTCTAACCTGCTTTTAAAAATTTGACAGATTCGACAGCCTCCCTAAACAATTTATTCCAGTGCTTAACCACCCTGACAGTTGGGAAGTTTTTCCTAATGTCCAACCTAAATCACCCATTGCTTCTTGTCCTATCCTCAGAAGTTAGAGAACAATTTTTCTCCCTCCTCCTTGTAACAACCTTTTTATGTACTTGAAAACTGTTACGTCCCCCCTCAGTCTTCTCTTCTCCAGACTAAACAAGCCCATTTTTTTTTCCAATCTTTCCTCACAGGTCATGCTTTATAGACTTTTAATCATTTTTGTTGCTCTTCTCTGGACTTTCTCCAATTTGTCCACATCTTTCCTGAAATGTGGCACCCAGAATTGGACATAATATTCCAGCTGAGGCCTAGACAGCATGGAGTAGAGAGGAAGAATTACTTCTCTCGTCTTGTGTTGTTTTCAATACTCCTGCTAATACAACCCAGAATGATGTTTGCTTTTTTTTGGACTCCTTTCTAAATTTAGTTTGACTTCTGAGAGGTACTCTCAAATATTTAAAGTTCTCTTTTCAATAAAGATCATAGAATTACTTCTTAATTTTCAGTATTAAGAGTTTTTTTTTTTAAATGCACTATAGTTGAAGAGGGCATTCTGTTACAGATGAAAAGCCTTCTCACTACACTACTTTCAAAGCTTTTCATTTAAGTTCTGGGCACTAGAATATTGTCATAGGTCGCAGGGACATGCACAAAGAGGGACAAGCAGGGTCACAGGCCCTCCAATAATTGTCAGGGGCCCAGGACTTCTCCGACCCTGGGGCTGAAGAGGCAGGGAAGAGCGAGCTACTTCCTAGGGCCAGAGGGGAGGGGGTAGAGTGAGTTCCTGCTGGGGCTGGGGAGAGGGAAGAGCAAGCTCCTGCCAGGGAAGGGGAAAGAGGGAGCTCCTGTTGGGACCTGGGTGGTGGTAAGCAGCAAGCTCTTCCAGGTGGGGGGGTTGGAGGGAGGTGCACAGAATGTGCCCCTCCAAAAGGAGTCAAATTTAAATTCCTGCACACACCCTTGATTGATCATGTTCTCAACTGGTGTAATTCCATTGACGTCATAGGGACTAAACCCATTTACACCAACTGAGGATCTGGTTCTGTATTGGTAAGGATGTACAATCATCAAACAACCCAGTGCTTTAAGAATTTGCAATTATATGGACTCTTAATTAAATGAAAATGTTAAATGAAACTCTTCCCTATTAGGGTTTTTATTTGGTGTCTAAAGGTTTGTTTTCTGTTTTGCTTTCTCTTTGACAGCTCCTTCAGGCTGGAAGGAATATCTACATTTGGAGGCATGTCAGTTATTTCTTTGATGTCAGTTTCATCATTGGGACTTCTTGCAGGCCAGATCTGATTAAAGTAACCAGGAACCTGACCCTCCTTGGAGCATGGAAGCCCTTAGAGTCAGAGCACAACTAATCACTGGTGTAATCTGCATCAAATCATCTGCCTCAGATCTGACCGCTACGAGCTACAAGCTGAGCCCTGATAAAAGCCACAGCCTTAAATTCTGTTCACTCAGAAAGAAGAATAAAGAGGACTAAATACCTTGCCCCATACAGAAACAACTGTCTCCAAGACTGACCCTTAAGGAGTTCAGTACTGAGCAATTAGAGTAATAAACAATAAATCAATTTATCATGCGGTCCAGCCAGCATCCAAAAAATATTTAAGTATGTAGCCAAAAGGAAACATGAAGCACTTGAGTGATTGCAAGAAAAGCAATGCATGTACAACAACAGAGGAATATTGCTATTTGTGGGGAAAGAAAACCTCTGCCATCCCTTGTACATATTCAAAGCCATAGAAGAACGGAGCATCAGTGATGCTCAAATGCTTGAAAGGATGTTGTCTCCTGTTCTCCACCCAAATCTGAAGAAAAAAAGTTCACTGTTACAGATTGCATCTCAATGCACTTCTAATATTTGCACTGTCACTTCCATTCAGGGTCATGATGTGTGCCATCATTTGCACAGATGGTCCCATGAGATTTTAGACCGCAACAGCTGTATCTTGCAGGGGCTCCAAAAGGAAGTAAGAAGCTGAAGAAAAGGAATGCTCTCTTACAGGGAGGATTTCTCCCCACAGCAAAATAGTCCTTCGTAAGATTAAAAGAAGTGTATGAAAAAAGCATCAACATGAAAAAGTGGATTTAAAAAGGGATCTAATTTTTTTTTATGAAATTCATTTTATATCATAGTAACAGCCAACAGATTGAGCCTATTGAAACTATACACCCAGAATGTTCCTGTTGGACATTAGCAGTATCCTCCTAGAAAATATTAAAGAAAAAAGTCATTTGTAATATGTATTTGACATAATACTTTTTATAGCGATTTATCTATGCTTCATGGAGAAATGTAAAAGACAAACAAACAGCATTTTCAGTTTATTTTTCTAAATAAATGTGTTGTTTGTATTATTTGCAGTCACTTATTTTAGATGGTTTTCATTACCCCAAAAAAAGAATTTAAAGATGGAACCAAAACACAGCAACTGTTTTGCCATGTTAAATCATAACAATTGCAGACTGAAAGCTTTAATATAAATAGTATAATTTGTAAAATTATAAAGTATATTTATACTGGCAAATATGTATGGACAACAAGAAGGAGGTATTTTAACTCTTAGTTTCAGTACATAGATTTTGATAGTCACATAAATGAATGTGAAGTTACATAATTGGTACAGGGTTTTTTTCTGTAATACGTTGTAGCAAATGAAGCTTCAGATGCCTAGGAATTCAGAGAACAATTCTAATGTTCAAGATTTTACAAAATTACACAGTCCCCTTGTCAAGTGATTCATTTAATCCAGAAACCACTTTTTTCATACTGTAACATACAAGGCCATTAAATATGCCGCTATTTGGTCAGGAGGAATTTGGGAACTTAAGGGGTAATAGAGATTGATCATTACAGTCATCCACAGATTTCATTTAGGAACAGTCATTGTATCTGTCTAATGGAGTATTTTGTTATCAAGTCATTGAACACACTGATTCTAGAGCTGTTTTGAATAAAAATATATATTTTCCCTTTTTTCCATAATCTTCTAGCCTGTGTAATTTTTAGAGAAAAAGCAAATCATGTGATATCAATTCTCTTACTTTAATCATCAGCTTTAATCTAAACAGGCTTTTCTTTATTCCCTTTGCTCTTGAGGAACATACTAATTAAGTGTTCAGTAGGGGAAAAGTGTTCTTTCAAAAATGATTTCGTCTAATGTATAGTTGAATTTGAAATGGGTACTTAGTACTTTTGCTCTATTCTAATGTACTAACAAATGTGTATAGGCTTCACCCCTTCTGATGGATGAAATGACAGAGCTGCTGAAGTGTGTGCCTGAAACCCTATTACTGCAACAGGTAATAGATCTGTCTTCTCCCAAAGCCCAGGTACTTTGAGTTCTGTCTAACTTAAAACTGTGAAGTCATGGGTAGCCACAGTTGGTGACTGAATTTTTTTTTTCTTTTTGCAATAAATCAAACACACCACACACACACCCCACCAAAGCAATTTTAGCCCTATTTGATAGTATAAGTGGTAGTTATTGGTCACTGAAAAGTGGCCTGATCCTGTGATGTGGGGAAGACCCCCAGTTCTACAGGTGTCAACAAGAGATGAGAACTCTGAGCACAGCTGAGTCACAGCCTTAGTTCACACATACAAGTTCAGCTGAAGGTTGACTCATAGACAAGTTGCTATGAATATTCACAGATTTCTCATTTGCTCTGTAGAACTGTCACCTAAGTCACAGAGACTTACAGACTTTTAAGGCCAGAAGGGACCATCTTGATCATCTAGTCTGACCTCCTGCACTTTGCAGGCCACAGAATCTCACCCACCCACTCCTGTAATAAACCCCTAACCTATGTCTGAGCTATTGAACTCCTCAAATCATGATTTAAAGACTTAAAGGTACAGAGAATCCACCATTTACACTAGTTTAAACTTGCAAGTGACCTGTGCTCCATGCTGCAGAGCAAGGTGAAAAAACCCCAGGGCCTCTGCCAATCTGACCCAAAAGAAAATTCCTTCCCAATCCCAAATATGGTGATCAGTTAGATTCCGAGTATGTGGACAAGACCCACCAGCCAGACACCTAAGAAAGAATTCTCTGTAATAAATCAGAGCCCCATGTACTGTCCCGTAACCGACTATTGGAGATATGTCCTGCTAGCAGTCACAGATCATACCATCCCGTCCATAAATGTCTCAAGCTCTCATCATACCATCCCCTCCATAAACCTCTCAAGCTCAGTCTTGAAGCCAGTTAGGTTTTTTTCCCCACACTGCTCCCCTTGGAAGGCTGTTCCTAAACTTCACTTCTCTGATCATTAGAAGCATTTGTCTAATTTGAAGCCTAAACCTGTTGGACAGTTTATATCCATTTGTTCTGTGTCCACATTGGTGCTTAACTTAAATAACTCCTCTCCCTCCCTGGTATTTTCCCTCTTATGTATTTATAGAGAGCAATCATAGCTCCCCTCAACCTTCTTTTGGTTAGGCTCAACAAGCCACGCTCTGAGTCTTTATTTATTTTGTTTGTTTCCTCATTGGGTGACCTGGGTTTTATAAATAAATTTTATAAATAGGATTTTATAAATCCTCATTTTATGTTTGCAAATTATCCACATCCATAATTGTTTAATTAAACTACTGTATTATGCTAATAACAGTATTTCAAAATAGGTCATGAAAATTTCTGGTATGAGTATTCTCACAATCATATTTGCAGTAGTATTTATGCCTGTGATGGGGTTGGGACTCACCACTGCAGCACCTCCCGCTGGCACATCTGGGAATTAGCTCTGTCCTCTGTGGGGCACCCTCTGCTGGTGATGTCCCCATCTGTCTCTCGCCCTGCTGGCGTCTGGACACACATTGCTCCTCGCTCGGTGGCATCCTTTTCAGGACACAGCCCTCTGGCAGTGCCCTCAAGTCCACCCTCACCCCCTTCCAGTGTCTGTCCAGCAGTCTGTCCAGTTCACTCCTGCCGCAGTGGCCAACCACAACCCTTCGAGTCTAGCCTCCCTGTTCAAGGGCCAGTTGCAGTCTGTCACGGCCACCCTTCCATGGCTGGGTGCTGTACAAGGAGGAAGGGCGGGGGGTCTGGCCCACCCACTACTCTGGGTCCCAACCCAGGGACCCTCTAGTGGCAGCCTCCCTGCCCTCATTCTCTCCCCTTGTCTAACTGTCCCTGGGCCACTTCCCCTGTGGCCCTTCGCACCCTCTAGGCCCTTTCTATCAGGGCCCGCAGTCTGGCAGGTATTGGGCCAGAGCCCTTCTATGCTCCCCCGCTGCTCTGTCCAAGGTGCCTGTCTCCTGCTCAGAAGACAAACCTTCACCTTCTGAAAGCCTGGAAGAGACTGCCTGCTCCCTTCCTGGGAAGCCTTTATATAGGGCCTAGCCTAGCCCTGATTGGCTGGCTGTAATATTGGCCCTGATTGGCTCCTAGTAGGCCTTTTGCTGATTGGCTGCCCTTCTGTGCAGCCGATCTGGCCTACTCTAGTCCTATCTCTCATGGAGTGGGGCAGGCGCCCTACCAGAATGACATTTTTGCTTTCTGCAAACATTCTTATGAATAAATACTTGTTCACCTGAATGTCTGCAAACGAATGAGGAAAACGCAACTTATATCCGTGAATTCATATTTACAAATATGTTTTCTTCTTTACTTGCCCAACTCTAGAGAAAGCTGTGTGATATTTTTAATATACTAACTGCACCTATCTAATACTCTAGGCACACATACAGTTTTATAAGGACAGATACTGTAGAGCAGGAAGTCCTGGGTGCCAGTGGAGCTGTTATTCTATGTTAATAATGCATAAATTATAAAGATAATAGAACACTTTGGTCTGAATTACAAGAAACAGTACATATGTCTTCAGGAAGATGACATAGCAAAAGAGATCATGGTTCTCAGCAACAAATACAGTTGTTTACAGCTCTTTATTAGTAGAGGTTTTGCATATTTCAGAACGTGCTAAAACAAATATTAATCACCACCTTTCAAAATAAAGGTCAGTGCACATAGAAGGGAGCAAACTCTGCTGTCCATGGCATTGGGATAAATCCACAACCTTTGACTTCTGTATACTTACTCGTGTATAGATGGGTGTAACTGATAGCAGAATTTAATACACCGTATATACTGTTTCAGCTACCATAATGCACACCAAAAAAACATAATGGACAGTATCATTAAACTGCTGTATAGAAACAACTAATAAAAGCCCAGTAATACAGTTAATTGCAGTGATTTAGATTTATTTGCTGTTTGTGTGTGGTCCAGCTATTCCCTTGAGATAACAGGTCAAAATAGAAAGGTCAATACATTACTGGAATTGGAGCCAGCTCTAGGCAAATAATTAGTTCTGAAAGTCTTTTATTTAAGCCAGTTTACAATGCCCACTTCTAGACTCAGTGCCCTTTTTGTACATATATGTGTATGTATTTATATAACATGTTTTTATAGCAAGTTCTGAATTAGTGGAATGTTGCAGGTTGTTGGGGCACCCAAAGAGGTAAGAGTGGTTGAAATCCTTACATTTCCAAAAGGAAAAACTGCTGCAAACTACCACTAATTCTGGAGGTTTAGGCAGGATCCATATGATACAAAATGGTCCTTGTGATCCAAATTTGCAGAATTCATGTACATCCTCTTGGTGTCCATAATCTGCTATGCTGACTCCGCTGATTTGAGGACTTCTTGGTAGATTTTTTAATGTATTTAAAAGTTACCTAAAGATGCAGATTCATGCCTAGCATTTTTTTCAAACATGCCTAAGGCCCAGATTTGTTAAGGTAGTTGGGCATCGCTCCTCTCTGTGTTGCAAGGCCTAAGATACACAAAATGGTGTCACAGTGTTCAGCATTGCAGCGCTAACTTTTAGACAAACTGCTGCCTTGTTGAATCCTCAGCCCTGAGCTGGGACCCCCAGCTCTCTATGCAATGTGTGATTAGACAACTAAGAAAGAGATTCACAAAGACCAGGGGAGCCACCTAAGCTAGCCAGTAGGAAATGACAACGAGAGGATAGGGGACTAAGTTCCATCCCACAGAGGTAGAGAGAGGCCTGAGGGAAGTCCTTTCCTACTCTTGGGATTTAATTATATATACAAAGTGGAACAGCTTCAACAGAAATGATTGAGAGAGTGACCTACCGTAGAGAGTGACCTACCGTAGACTACCTACCATAGTCTTGGAGTTAGGGCACTCTATGGGACATGGGAGACCCAAGTTCAAGTCCCTGCTCCAAATCTGGCAGAGTGGGGGATTTGAAAAGAGTTTCCCCAAGTGAGTGTCCTAACCATTGGACTGTTGGGTATTCTGGAGGACACATAGACAGACAAGTCCTGGCCTGGAAAATTCCCGATCTGGTTACTCCTGGCTTTCTTTTATGTAAGGCACAATTCAGTCAGTAGGCTCAGAGAATGCCTACCGGATTGGGTCCTGCAGACAAGACAGATGGGGGAATGCCTAGTTTCAGAATCCTACCTTGGTTTAGGCATCAGCTCGGGTCATAGGAGATGCATAGGGGGATATTTGGGGTCAAGTGCCACCCCTAGATTTCTCTTTGGCCTGCTTGGGCAGGGCAGGGGAGAGGCGCTCTGTCCTCCTGCTTCCACCTGCCCTCCTGGGCTTGCTCGGTCCTTGCTCCTGACAGCCAGGCCTGGGTGCAGAGCAGAAGGAGTGGGACCAGCCACTTCTCAGGACAGCCCCTCCAGGAGTCGCTGCTCTGTGCCCCTCTCCCCCTGGCATGTTTCTGACTTGCTCAGCCCATCCCTGGCAGATGGGCCAGGTGGGCCGCCACTGCCCCCTCCCAGCCAGGTTCTCTCTTAGGCAGCTGCTACACTCCACAGAGCAGTGACCTGGAGCAGCCAGCTTCAGCCGGAATGAGAAACGGCTCCCTCCATTAGGTTGAGTAGCACTCATTCACATGAGTAGTCCTACTCAGCACAAGGAAGATTTTCTGGAATTGGGTCTTAACCATTAGTAGAAAGGACAATTCTCTGAATAGTTTTTGCCTCTACATTTTAGG